TTAGTGTCAGGCCTGAGACAGACCATCTCTGTGGACGTATCCATTAGTGTCAGGCCTGAAAGAGACCATCTCTGTGGACGTATCCTTTAGTGTCAGGCCTGAAAGAGACCATCTCTGTGGACGTATCCTTTAGTGTCAGGCCTGAGACAGACCATCTCTGTGGACGTATCCATTAGTGTCAGGCCTGAAAGAGACCATCTCTGTGGACGTATCCTTAAGTGTCAGGCCCGAGACAGATCATCTCTGTGGGCGTATCCATTAGTGTCAGGCCTGAGACAGATCATCTCTGTGGACGTATCCATTAGTGTCAGGCCTGAAAGAGACCATCTCTGTGGACGTATCCTTAAGTGTCAGGCCCGAGACAGATCATCTCTGTGGGCGTATCCATTAGTGTCAGGCCTGAGACAGATCATCTCTGTGGACGTATCCATTAGTGTCAGGCCTGAAAGAGACCATCTCTGTGGACGTATCCTTAAGTGTCAGGCCCGAGACAGATCATCTCTGTGGGCGTATCCATTAGTGTCAGGCCTGAGACAGATCATCTCTGTGGACGTATCCATTAGTGTCAGGCCTGAAAGAGACCATCTCTGTGGACGTATCCTTAAGTGTCAGGCCCGAGACAGATCATCTCTGTGGGCGTATCCATTAGTGTCAGGCCTGAGACAGATCATCTCTGTGGACGTATCCATTAGTGTCAGGCCTGAAAGAGACCATCTCTGTGGACGTATCCTTAAGTGTCAGGCCCGAGACAGATCATCTCTGTGGGCGTATCCATTAGTGTCAGGCCTGAGACAGATCATCTCTGTGGACGTATCCATTAGTGTCAGGCCTGAAAGAGACCATCTCTGTGGACGTATCCTTAAGTGTCAGGCCCGAGACAGATCATCTCTGTGGGCGTATCCATTAGTGTCAGGCCTGAGACAGATCATCTCTGTGGACGTATCCATTAGTGTCAGGCCTGAGACAGACCATCTCTGTGGACGTATCCATTAGAGTCAGGCCTGAGACAGACCATCTCTGTGGACGTATCCATTAGTGTCATTCCTGAGACAGACCATCTATCCTATCTATCTATTACTTGTTTATATTACAAAATGTACTGGATGTTTATGTCAGCAAAATAAGACAACATTTCCCAGGAAACATTAATCATGCAAAAACTTTTAACCCAGACACCTAAAAGATTAACCATTTTTCTTTGTTAGAGACTTGAGCTGGTGATAGGATGGTCTGTAGACTTAAACAGATCCAGTAAACAGACACCTACATATTACTCCACCTACCAATCAATTCCTATTTATATAACAGGACACTTGTGTTATGTGAATCACCTCTGCCTTAAGGAATGGGATTACAGGTAACACCTGAGCCCTGTGTCTACAGCCCCATTAGGCCTTTTGTCAATTATGACACCTATACAGATATGTTCAATCTCAGTAGTAATAAAATGACATCTTATCTCCTAGTTTTTGTTCTATTGACCTAGATAAATACCTGTATTTTCCAGTTTTACTTTTTAACTTTTTCATTTGTAAACAATGTATACTAGTTATGTGTTAATAGGGTGAGGTACCCAAGAAATCAGTAATGTTTCTTAATTCTACAATTATCAGCAACTTAAACACAATGCTAGAATTGTGCCAAACTGTTGATTATGTGTGTCAAATTCACTGTACATGTAATATAGTGAGGTTTGCACAGACAACAATTTGACTACTCTGCTTAGTGACTGACAATTACAGAACATTTTTGACAATATTTCATTTGTCTTTGTACACAATGAAGATATTCAGATATAACCATAATCTGATCAGTCACTAGCCAGCCCCTGACCCTGTCCAGTGAGAAGTCTCCTGTATAAACAGGAAGTGCTGCAGTACAAATCTAAACAGAAGCTTTTCACACAAAGAAGTCTATTCAACACTTACATAAATAATTGAAGCATCAAGCACTCCAGAACAACCACACAAACAACAATCTTTGTACACAGTCTTAACTAAAAGTGCCACTTAAACTGAAGCACTGACTGGTCAGAAAGAACATTAGTTTGAATATGTCTCAGAAACAGTGACTTGTCTTTCAAAACTCTTTAATTAATTCATATTGTACTTTTAGCAGAATATCACAATGTGAAGTTTCATCAATTTTTACTGCTTGATGACCAAATCATCTCTGATAACTGTGACAGACAGATGGACAGATGGAAAGAAGGATGGAGCATCATTTCTTGTTGTTAACAGTGCCTGAATAAAATCAATTGATCAAACAAATACTAACAAGAGATCCCAGAGGGATCTTGGCGCCCACCATTTGAGGATCTGTTTTCAGTTCTTGAAGATTTGTTTATTTTTTGTTTGTTTGTTACAGGTGTTGTAAATGTTCATGAACTGGTCTTCATTGAATGTACTCAATGATGGCACAAGATATTTTTATTAAGCACCTATTAGCAAATATCATTTGAAAAAGATCCCAAAGTATCATTAGATAGCGGTCAGTTACAGGTGGATAATGGACAATATGCTTGTGCTGTATTACTGTCGACATCCAAGATGGCTGCCTGTGGACCACCTTGATTTCAAATCAGTCCAAAAAAGGTACAATGCACAACTAGGGACCAAGGGAAACCAATATTTATGAAATATCAGAAGGGTCCCTCCAGTGCTTCCTCAGATATAGCAGTAACAAACTTTTACATCCAAAATCCAAGATGGCCACCTGTCGGCCATCTTGAATTTGAATCAGTCCAAAAAAGGTACAATGCACAACTAGGGACCAAGGGGAACCTGCATGTGAAATTTGAGAAAGATCAATCCAGTACTTTTCCAGAAATAGCGGTAACAAGAATTGTTTACGGCGGACGGACCACGGACCACGGACGCAGGGCGATTTGAATACCCCACCATCTGATGATGGTGGGCTAACAAAGGGAGCAGGGCTCACACGGACATCCCCCCTCTCTGCATCCCAATTCACACAAGCTGTTTATTTCCAAATGGGTAAATTGTGACTGTTGACCTTTGACCTTGATGGTATTGATGCTATTGTGTGAACATGAACAAAATCTGTTCTGGAGTTCAAGCAGAGTAACTACTATTTATCCTTCCTTACCTAAGTGGGAGTATAAAATCTGACAGGACAGATTTTAACAAAATCAAAATTTTACACCTTGTGCAGATAACTTGTGTATATACCTTGTCATTACCTGTGCTTACATTTCTATTCAGACCTTAAGTCTAACAATTATGTTTTTCACCGAGGTGATCATACTGTTACAAGGTCAAACGGTTATATCTCATGGTCATAATGAAACGGTTGTAAGTGTAGTGCAAACACTTATTACAGTGAAAAGGAGTTCCCTTGAACAAATCATAAATGATAAAGTATAACTTGAACAGCTATAATGTTAAGGTGACAAGAGATAGGTTATATGAAGTTGTCATACAGTTTTGCTTGGAAACTGCAGTATTTTTCTTTTTAATTGCAGCAACTCTTGCCAGTCCGAAATTTTAAATCTTGGTGCAAAAACTTGGAACTTGCCACAAGGGGAAAGATCATAAACCATTAAAAGAAGCAATTTTTTAGGCAATGTGTAGCCATGTAGATAAAATTCAATACTTTAAACAAATAGAGCCATAACCCAGTATATCATAAAAAACAAATTCCACTAAGCTACATTCAATAATATCATATAAATGATGACAATTGTAGGTGTCAAAGTAAATAAGTCTGCGCTAATTGATAATGTAAACAATAAGAAAACACTTTGTATATAACAGGCATGTCAAGAAATTTAAGTAACCTTAATTCAGCAATGACACAAAGTTCTCACATTTAACAAACGCTAATTGTAGGTGACCTTGTATAAAAAGGGCAGTAACTCTGCATAAACTGGGCACAAAACCAAATCTGTGACCATTGTTATGTGGAGCTAATAAACCCAACAGATATCTTTGAAATTTGCCAATTGCAGGTGGATGAATAAATAGATAAGACCCAGATAATGTACAATCTGGACTAAATCTAAATCTACATAGATCTGTGGTACAAGTAGAGAAAGATCATTCTACAAAATCAGACCTATAGTTTATATTACATGGGAATGTAATATTGTGTTTAATACAAACTTTCTATTGCTCTTATTTTCGAAGTTTTTTCCTCATGAAATGGCTATCATAACACATTAATGATAACAGAATCTTTCATTAAATGCATGAAATAGTTAGGCTGAATGATACATCAAAACTAAAGTTCCCGAGAGTTTCGGGCACAACAATGAGCATGTCAGTGCAGAAATACATCTTTTCTGAAAATTGTAAAGCTGTAAATGTTTTTGTGATCATAAGCCACGGAGTCATTGAAACCCAAAGCTTTATGCTACAAAACATTTTTCCCCTCAAAATTTTTCAAATTATTCCAAATGGTCTGAAAGAAAATTTAAAATTTTAGCTTTTCACTACAAAACAATTTTTTCCTTCATGAATATTTTAAAGCATTCCTGAAGGTCTGAATGGAAATTTTAATACAGGATTAAATACATTTGAATCTTGTATCTTACACATGTATGGTGAAAAGGCTTTAAATTTGGATAGTTTTCAAGTTTAAATAAACATGATCATATGTATGGATGACTGTGAAAAATCATAAGAGTACTGTTGTAGTGTTTAGTACAAATATATGTACATGTAGAAATAGTCTTCTTAAGTGTATAATTCAAAAGTTCATGCATGCATGAACTATATGTAGTATTTGATCTATTTATAGAACATGACAAGGTTGTATCTTACATGTAACTGATGAGTAATGAAGCATTATGTCAACCTGTTGCTCAAACAGAAACAGATCATACACGTATATATGATACAAATCAACATTCAAAATCATTCCTACAAATCTGTACCAACAAGACACTCTTAAATCAATTTTAACATACCTTTTTACAATATATACTAACTTGGCAAGATCCGCTAGAAAGTTTCCCAGTTGAATCAATTTTAACATACCTTTTTACAATATATACTAACTTGGCAAGATCCACTAGAAAGTTTCCCAGTTAAGTTCCAGATCTGTAAAAGTTATATGAAGTCTTGTCGCTCTTTCAGTTGACCTTTCCACTTTTTGCAAAATCAAAGTTTGAATTCCAGAATATATAATACTAGTATTTTCCACTTGATCTGTCTCAGTATGCGTCCTATGGTGTACCCAGTGCTACAGCTGGCCGGAGAGTGTTCTGTCTATACTGTGTACAAGCTTACGACTGACAACAACAGGAAATGGGTCATCGATGTCAGCTTTATTTCCAGGTGTATCAAGAAAGGAGGCCTCCACAGGGTATTGACAGGCTGCATAAGCCTGTCCTCACAAACCTTGGCCACCCTACCTGTGACGACACCTTGTTACAGGTGGGAGAGTAAAGGTGTAGATCTCTGCTGTGATACTACGTGCTCAAACATCCAATTCTATGCAGCCGTACCCAGACAGACGCTCCCAAATGTCGAGAGATGCTCCAAAGAAAATCAATAGGAATTATGAAATACACACTTTTCCAACAGGATTAATCCTACAGTAAATACAACAGAAATGACACTATTATTTGAAGACGATATATAAAGGTGTTCACTTTGTAAGTCTTTATTTCCTGCTGCATATTACGGCTACCCAGATATTTATTGGCCGGGTTTGTAAGAATAATTAGTGAATTGCTGGTAAGAGTTGTTTTTTCACACATAAGTACATGAAGGATTTGAACAGATACCAGACCGATCTTAGCAATCATCATTGTTTGATCTTTATTTGTTCTTTAAAAGTTGGATCTTTTTCTTTCTTTTATCTACTTTCTTCTGTTTTTTCTCTTAATTAGGAAAGTTCCTCTCAAGAAAGAGTGATATCAAACTGTCAAAGCCAAGGTGGTGACCTCTTTATATTTGTTGTTCTGATCAATCTCTTAAGTCAAAAGAGTGCAACTTAGGAGTACGGGGAACCTTTTGTTGATAACAAACTTTCTTTTTCAAAATCAAAGATGGCCACCTGTCAGCCATCTTGTTTTCTTGATCAGTCCTAAAATCAAACAAGAACAATTTAGGACCAAGGGGAACCTACAAATGAAATCGGAGAATGAGATATCTTGTATTTTTCATAGTGAAAACAAGAATTGTTTAATGACAGACAAGCGACCACAGATGTAGGCCAGCTTACTGTAAATATGACATGACTTTTCACAATAATTTCTTACAGCAAGTTACATATTTAAAAGAATAGAAAAGTGTAAGTTAACAATAATCATCAGAAACCCACAGGAAAATAATGCATCTGATCTTAATGTATCCTTCCACTTATTATCACATTTTCTCCTGACAAATATCACATGATATTAAGAGGATTTCACTGTAATAGGAAGCATATGAAATGTATTTAGCACACTCTGCATATGTAACCACAAACTCTTTAGTTGATCAAATATATTTAGAAGATATTTATCTTTAAATTTGAATAATTATTTAACAGTCGTATAGACACTTAATTACAGTCCAAGTGATGAAATTGTACAAATATCACAAACAGAAAAAAAACCAAACATGTTTAATCAATTCAAGATTAGGTTATCTCCAATCTCAGTAAAAGATATCTTTAAACATATCTTGTATAATTTGCATATTTGAGTTGCAGTAGACCTATCACATTATATTCACCAAGTTACCTGTTCTAATCTTATACACACACCTGTCTTAATTCTAACCAGGTGTGTATTGTATGCTACACACACCTGATACAGGAACACCTATAATATGTCTACAATGATGTCACTGCTATATACTAAGGAATCTATTAACAAACTCTCATTATCTAACTTGGCTAGAATTACATCCTGTTGCATTTTTTGTAAAGTCTTAAAACAATTTTACAGAAGACTTCCTGATTCCATCTCCTCCATATTATTATCAAGGACGAGTTATCGTCTGGTTCCTATTGGAGGTTTAAGGAAGAAAATCCTGTAGTCCCGATTCTGGTTCCTAATGGAGGCTTGGGGAAGTAAATTCTGTAGTCCCGAATCTGGTTCCTAATGGAGGCTGGAGGAAGAAAATCCTGTAGTCCTGATTCTGGTTCCTAATGGAGGCTTGGGGAAGTAAATTCTGTAGTCCCGATTCTGGTTCCTAATGGAGGCTGGTTTCTAATGGAGGCTTGGGGAAGTAAATTCTGTAGTCCCGATTCTGGTTCCTAATGGAGGCTGTAGGAAGTAAATTCTGTAGTCCCGATTCTGGTTTCTAATGGAGGCTTGGGGAAGTAAATTCTGTAGTCCCGATTCTGGTTCCTAATGGAGGCTTGGGGAAGTAAATTCTGTAGTCCTGAGTCTGGTTCCTAATGGAGGCTTGGGGAAGTAAATTCTGTAGTCCCGAATCTGGTTCCTACTGGAGGCTGTAGGAAGAAAATCCTGTAGTCCCGAGTCTGGTTCCTAATGGAGGCTTGGGGAAGTAAATTCTGTAGTCCTGAGTCTGGTTCCTACTGGAGGCTGTAGGAAGAAAATCCTGTAGTACCGAGTCTGGTTCCTAATGGAGGCTTGGGGAAGTAAATTCTGTAGTCCTGAGTCTGGTTCCTACTGGAGGCTGTAGGAAGAAAATCCTGTAGTCCCGAGTCTGGTTCCTAATGGAGGCTTGGGGAAGTAAATTCTGTAGTCCTGAGTCTGGTTCCTACTGGAGGCTGTAGGAAGAAAATCCTGTAGTCCCGAGTCTGGTTCCTAATGGAGGCTTGGGGAAGTAAATTCTGTTGTCCCGATTCTGGTTCCTACTGGAGGCTGGAGGAAGTAAATTCTGTAGTCCCGAGTCTGGTTCCTACTGGAGGCTGGAGGAAGTAAATTCTGTAGTCCCGAGTCTGGTTCCTAATGGAGGCTGGAGGAAGTAAATTCTGTAGTCCCGAATCTGGTTCCTACTGGAGGCTGGAGGAAGAAAATCCTGTAATCCCGAGTCTGGTTCCTACTGGAGGCTGGAGGAAGTAAATTCTGTAGTCCCGATTCTGGTTCCTAATGGAGGCTGGAGGGAGAAATTTATTTTACACTGGGTGGATACTGAAGGCTGTTATACCCTGTATTTCTCTAAACTATAGAAATTCTTGTTTACCTGTATAAATACAGAGTAAACAAATACAGACTGATGGTCCCTAATCTTTTTATTGCCACAATATATCCCTGGCAGACGGCCATCTATCTCCTGTGTCCACAGGTAATGACCATGTCCTATCGGTCATCCTGGATAGTAACAACTTTATCACAGATTGATACCAGACAATTGATAAATAATGAAACCATTATATCCAATCAACAGAATGTACTGGTCACTCCTGGTCACTCTTCATATACTTTGTACTTTTGCAAGCTAATTTCAAGTTTTTTCTTGATTCGTCTAAGAATTTTTTATTTAAAATGTTTGAAAAAATCTAAACAAAAACCAATTTTGTCTTATTTGGTAACACCTTCATTTCGTGGTTTAATCTGACCTTTGGAGGTCACCATGATACAATCATCATGCTTTACACACCATTGGGAGTAGATACATAATTTTCATCAAGTACCTTCCAAATATATCTGGACATGATTTTCCTTATAAAATATATTTTACATAATAGTTTTTCCCTCTTTGACACCGACACCTACTATCTTGTACAATCCTAAAGAAAGAGTCGGCAGCCAAACCATTGATAGTGAGGTGAATCAGAGTATATTTAGGGGATGGGCTTTAATGCAGGAGAGTGATATAAACTTTGGTGGTAGAAACTGTCATATATGTGAGTGGGGTTATCAGTGGATAAATACGGTAATAAATCATTGATCACTGATCTTTATACTTCAGTGTTTATTGCTGTTGTTATAAAATGTCTGAGGATAGGAACAGGTCCCCTTGTAGTGCCAATGACCGTATTATACTTGTAAAAGGACAAATGGTCACTAGATAATCAGTAAAGTCATTAGGAGATCAAGATCCTCTTTCCAAATTAATCCTTCAATTGTCATCAGACTAACTAGTATCACTTACATCCTAGGAACAACAGCCAGAACACTAGCCCATTACACCCAAGTATCCAATTAAAACAAAAATGACCAATCAGAAATGACAGCATCACCATAATCTATTGAAACAGCCAATCAGCACATTGTATAGTAGAGGTTTTCATTACATCCCATTGCCTTAACTTAAAATGGCAAATGTAAAAGTGAATTTCTTACTTCATTTCTTCAAGAGTCTGTCATCTTTCAAAGTAAAATAAAAACTTGTTTGAATATTTCTTTTGAATGAACATGCCATATCAGCAGAATAAGGTAAGGACAGGCTGTTAGGAGCTTTTAAGGCTCCGTCACTTTAAAAAGATTAAAATCTTCACCTGACAACAAGGAAGAAGAAATTCAATAGTATGTTTTTTTCAGACTCAAAAGTTCATGTTATCCGATATGAAGAAGGAAAACCTTGCACTTCAAGCATGGATATTTACATACACATTCTACTTATAAACAGATATCCCGTTAAAAACAACACACAAAAGATATGAAGAAACCCATATTTCTGTCCCAAAGGCATGGGTGTTAATAGAAGTCTCCTGGGTTTTGATTTCACAGATAAACAAGATCTAACTTCCTTAAACCATAAATGGACAGAAGAGGAGACACAAGTTTTATAAATATTCTGATATACAAGATCTAACTTCCTTAAATCATGAATGGACAGAAGAGGAGATACACAAGTTTTATAAATAGGTCACTGAATATCCATCAGAAATCCAAATAGCTTGTCATCCTAGAAATTTGAGAGGTTTGAACAATTAAGATGTAAAAAAATAATAGTTTATAGTATATATCTGTAATAAGGTAAATAAGGTATATATCTGTAATAAGGTATATATCTGTGATAAGGTATATATCTATAATAAGGTATATATCTGTGATAAGGTATATATCTGTAATAAGGTATATATCTGTAATATGGTATATATCTGTGATAAGGTATATATCTGTGATAAGGTATATATCTATAATAAGGTATATATCTGTGATAAGGTATATATCTGTAATAAGGTATATATCTGTGATATGGTATATATCTGTAATAAGGTATATATCTGTGATATGGTATATATATCTGTGATAAGGTATATATCTGTAATAAGGTATATATCTGTGATATGGTATATATCTGTAATAAGGTATATATCTGTGTTAA